TCACTCACTGAAAAGGTCAGCTTCCCCCCAGCCCCCAAATTTAAAAGGTATCTTTTTATGGCAATTTAAAGTAAGACAGTGACTTTCACACGCACACGTCTGTGGCATTAATTCATCCTCCTGCCTGCTGACTCCGTAAAGGAGCAGATGCCTTTGGGAGGTAACATCTTTAAGCCGCACACACGGTTTGCCAGAGCTCATTTGTCAGTGCCCTGAGGCAAGCCTTTCATCTTTTAGCCACATAATGGTAGCAGAACTCTATTATAGATGGCTATATTTACACGCATGAGCAATCCGGTTAAAATACATATTTTTGCTAGCCAATGTGAACAGCGAATTCTCATTTGCTCGCTACCAGCCACCAAAGCCATTCAGTAGGTGTCCAGAAAACTCAACCCCCTCTCCAAGAAACCAGTCTTTGAAACCTTGCTGTAAACGCCTGCCTGGACGCCGGAAGATTCTGCTCAGTAGCAGCCGAACAATGCAGATTAGTCCTTTTATGAACTTTTATGAACCACTTCTTCCAGACAAAAAATGAACCCAACACGCAAACACAACTTCAAAGGAAATAAAAAAACCAATCTCTCTCAGACCTCTCGGTATGACTGATGTTTTAAGTCCTAACAAAATGACTGAGAATCACTATAAAAAAAAGGGACAGAAGAATGCGAGCACAAAATCAAAACTTGCTACAAAAACAAAGCACAATATCCTCAGTGCTCGTCTTGATTTAAAAGGAAAATGCTTTCACAAATACCAGTGTTACAGTTTAAGAGAAACACTACTCTCTTAGTTTTATAACACCACCTAGGAACATACTGGTGCTTGCCAGAAGACTGGGCATTTTCTCGTAAGAGCACTCGGAGACGGCACTAACAACTTAGGGTGTTTTTAGAATGGCAGAAAGGAATTGTTCCCACTACAGGACTCCAAGAACACACACCTGTAACCAACTTGGGCGCGACATAAGAAAATAAGCACGTACCTTCACCAGAAACAAGGACTACGTTCAACAATAGGGCCTGAACTTGCATAAAGGCAATTTACTCTGCTGTCGTGCTGTGACCATGGTTTTATTGGCCCAGTTCCCACAGGCTTCAGTTTTACACAGCCCAGTTCAAGCCCACATTCTCCTGAGAGTGTTTAGAACCGTTTACATTTAGACCACGTTTAGAACAGTTACAGGACCTACACAAACTTGCACAGTAAGCAGGGGTTGGCAAACTACCGTGGTTTGTATTCTGCTGAGTAACTAACCTGCTTCTAAAACACTGTGGCACCATTCTTGTCTCAAAAATAACATTTCTACAGACTAAAAAGCCCACCCCTGCCTTCAGCGTGTAGTAATTCAAATGAAATCATTCAGCCCAGCATAAAGATGGGGAGGTTTATCTGGAAGTCAGCCTAAAGAATCTACTTATTATAAAAGTAGTAAGAGATGAAAGGCATGTTTTTATGTCATCCCCAGCAAAGACAATTCAGCTCTTGCCTGTATTTAAATACCAGTCCTTGAACTCTCAGAGCCTTTGTAAAAGATAAAATCTTTATAAACAAACAGTTATCTTGAGTTATGCAGCATCTACCTTTAAAGTGGCATCAGCTTTTCAGAATAGACACTCCCATGTCTTGAAAAGCAAAACACCATTAACTTAAGCAAAAACTAGATGTAGTTCTTCATAGTTTCCTTTAAAAAAAAAAAAAGTTAGCAGATACCTTTCTTAAAGGATCTTCACATCCTTAGAGATGCTTGACCAAAACAGCTTTGTTTCAGTCAATCAGATTTACAAGTTACCTCAGCATGGAGCACTGTGCAAAGAATAATACTGTTTTCAGCTAAGCTCCTACTCCCTAAGGTCACCCCACTAATGCTCACAGACTCTTGAAGGAAACGGGACTTGTGCAGAATCTGCAGTCTAGCTGAGAATAAGTGATACAGAAAAGCCACACCTATTTGCTATATATTCATTTCTCCACTTAAGATCTCAAACTTAAAATATGGTTTCAGTATCATTTCTGTGTTACAATTTCATCTTCCCCTAAGCCAGGAACAGAAGTGAAAAAACCACAGGTGCATCAGGGGACAGCAGCGTGCTACCATCCTTACTTAAGATGAATGAAGTGAGAGGGTTTGTTCTGCCTGCAGCAAGAGGGCTAACACACCTTCCCAATGACATAATCCTCTAAGATCAACCTATGGTAATAAGTGATCGTCAAAGTCTTACTGACCGCATCTGGCAGAAACCAGGGTTTCTTTACATTTATTACAGCAAAATGTTGAGTATTACCTGCTTTTGTACTGCAGGAAGGAACTTACTGAGAGGAAATACCATTATTTTGACAAGTTAAAACATATTTAAAAGCACCTGCTTGGCTTCAGTTGTTTCCCATTCTGACAGACTGAGGCACCAAAGCATCCACTTATCCAGAATAAATCTGTCACTCTTAAAAGTGTTAGGTCAGGACTTCAGTGGAAACAAAAACCTCTTTCATTAGGATCTCTAAAACAAAGACCTGTGACCAAAATTCTCACTTCAACAGATAATTTAAGCATCTTCCTGTAACCCAGAATACACTTACAGAATGGACTACATACAGAGGAGCTCAGGGTTAAAACCCTTAAAGGAAAACAGAAGCGATGTAGTTGCAGGAAACAGAGAGCTCAGACACAAAGTCAGCTCAAGTGCCATGCACAAAGGAAGAACTCAAATCAAGACACTCAGAGAATCCAGGAAGGGAGAACACCAGAAAAACAGAATAAATTCCATGAGTAAACTAATTCAGTTTCTTTGTACAATAACAAGACCCATATTCTTTACTGAACTATTCTCACAAAACAGAATGATTACTGAAGATAACAAACATGCAGCAACAAAATTAGCTATAGCAAGGGAAAACATCCTCCTCTTTTTTTAATCATTCCACTTCTCCCCCAAGAAGGTTGCCTGCCTGGAATTGCACAGGTTGCCCATCTGCTCCCGCGCTGCCTGTTCACAGCCTGTAACTGGCACCAACGCCTGGCTGGTGATCAGAAGCATTTGCTGACACGCTGGGCTGCCAAACTCAGTGCTTCACAAGCAACGTGTTCAATCGCCCCTGTGGTGCAGCAGCCGTGTTAAGGTGATTTTTTCATCACCTACCGGTGGACACACTCAAGTATTTGGCAATACGATGGACTAACTCATTGAGAGTTTATTAGGGAAGAGATCAGTGGTACACACATGCACATTCAACAAGAGTGTAAGCAAGAATATGCAGAGCTTTGAGGTCACAGCTTTTCTACCACACCATGAACACAGCATTGAAGTTGCTGAAAATTCCAGGACAAAGTTGAGAAGCACCTGTCTTTTCCTAAAGAAGTTCCCAAAAGCTTTTCTTCTTTTTTTAGTAGTAGCTTTATCGGTATTCTTGTGTATTATGACTGCGCAGAACCACCATAGCTTTTCTGTGAGTATATGGAGAACAAGCTTAACAACACATGTTCTTGCAAAAGTAGCATTAATATTCCCTTATGGCTTTACAGAAATAATTTATGAATTTAGAAAACTAGAAATCTACTTCCCTGCCTCTCTTTTCCTTGACAACTGCTACTCTAATATATAGCAGTGTAACTGGCCTCTCTAAAACCTGCTCAAGTATAGAGCTTACGCCGTTCAGCCACTTGGTACATCAAGTCTGTCTCTCTCTCCTTTTATCCTCCATGCACCAGCAAATACCACTCAAGCCTTTCTGCACCTCAGCTGACAGAAAACCTCTATCTACATCCCAAACCAATTTATAAGTCCAAAAATTACACTAGAATAGCCTCAGCTTTTTCACCTGCCAATTTGACAGCTTAAGTCTTCGCTTGTATGACTTTGTGTAGCAACCATTCATACTGCAGAACAGTGTTTTAGACAAAAGTGGTTTAACTACTTAATACACTATATTGCAAACAGTAAGATAACTGTAATGCTGAAAATCTTCCTTGATGCTCCAAATTATTATCTTATTCAAGTTTAACTATGAACAAAGTTTAGCCTTCTCTCTGGATTTATTTGTATTTCGAAAGCCAATACAAGAAGAAAAATGTTACGTGTGTACCAGTCACTCCTGTAGAAGATAATCTGAGCCACCACTGGGAATGTAGCACTGCACTATTCTCCAACAACATGCAACATTATACATTCAGCTGAAAGGGTACTCTACTGCAGTATTCAAGCCTAAGTTTTTGCCCAAGCCCTTGGCAAATGTGGGAAATCCACTGCTTCCAAGTAGCTCAATAATTTTTATGTAAGCGACAGCAGGTAGCTATTTAAGTAGATTGTTTTGTTGCATAAAAATGCCACTACAGACAAGTCTTCATATGGCTCTGCCTTACTTTTGTGCTTGGTTTAACCCAAAACATTAGTCCTGGAAAAGCCTAGTTATACCAGTAGCATAATTACATTAAAAAAAAAAAACACATCTGGTTTTAAGAATGCAAGATCTAGTCAAAGCAAGTATCAATTTCAGCTACTGGATTTTCACACAAAAAACACCTTTGCAAAAGACAATTAAGGCTCCCATCACCTTACCAGAGGTAACAATGAGAAACAAGTCTAAGCCACAGGAGCTTTGGTCCATTTTTGACAGTGGTACTTCAGTATTTATTAAGCTGTTTTTCATTCATTTATTCAGGTGGCTGACATCCATCTGCCACATGGAACATCTGAACATGCACAGTTAGCATCTAAGGAATCGGGATAGCATTTGGTTGCATTTTTCTCTTAGCATAATAGGCAAGAGCTTCTAGAATTTCACTCACTGATATAGTTCAACCTTGCCTGAAGCAAGGATGGGAAAAGGTGTCCCCCCCCCGCTAGTACAAGACAGTTCAAGTACCAGAAAAAAACCACATACATTTTTTTAATGGTGATATTTGCAAAAGCAAAAGAGAAACTCCCAGTTCTTCATCGTCTAGCAATATTCAAACGTTTAAGTTTTAAAGTACAGATGTTGAATTATTTAGCCAATAGCTTCCAAGTAGCTCAATAATTTTTATGTAAGCGACAGCAGGTAGCTATTTAAGTAGATTGTTTTGTTGCATAAAAATGCCACTACAGACAAGTCTTCATATGGCTCTGCCTTACTTTTGTGCTTGGTTTAACCCAAAACATTAGTCCTGGAAAAGCCTAGTTATACCAGTAGCATAATTACATTAAAAAAAAAAAACACATCTGGTTTTAAGAATGCAAGATCTAGTCAAAGCAAGTATCAATTTCAGCTACTGGATTTTCACACAAAAAACACCTTTGCAAAAGACAATTAAGGCTCCCATCACCTTACCAGAGGTAACAATGAGAAACAAGTCTAAGCCACAGGAGCTTTGGTCCATTTTTGACAGTGGTACTTCAGTATTTATTAAGCTGTTTTTCATTCATTTATTCAGGTGGCTGACATCCATCTGCCACATGGAACATCTGAACATGCACAGTTAGCATCTAAGGAATCGGGATAGCATTTGGTTGCATTTTTCTCTTAGCATAATAGGCAAGAGCTTCTAGAATTTCACTCACTGATATAGTTCAACCTTGCCTGAAGCAAGGATGGGAAAAGGTGTCCCCCCCCCGCTAGTACAAGACAGTTCAAGTACCAGAAAAAAACCACATACATTTTTTTAATGGTGATATTTGCAAAAGCAAAAGAGAAACTCCCAGTTCTTCATCGTCTAGCAATATTCAAACGTTTAAGTTTTAAAGTACAGATGTTGAATTATTTAGCCAATATAACAGTTCTACAAACTGCATCACAAAATGTTGCACAGCTTATGACCAAGATCAATACTAAAAGCTAAAATCTTGCTAGCGACAGTGCTAATATGAATTGGCAATTTTAACATTTCAGTTCAGAAAACATTCATTCTTCTAAACCCCACTGATGTATATCATTTATGTAAATATCTATTGGATCCAGTCGTCACGCTACAGTATTAGTCAGGTTAATAAACCTTCTCACTGTGAGAATACACCAGCATAAGGTATGAACACAATGAAATCCATATGAAATCTAACTTTCCAGAAATATGCCTGTGGCCCGTCAAATTCAGATTAAAGTACTGTAGATTTAAACTATTTACTTGTCTTCTTAGCATACCCAATGTGTAAGAATAGTTTCTTGTTCAATTCCCAAAAATAAATATAAGCTTTCAACTGAAAGCATTTGTTTTCCTAGTTTTCCAAAGCGGAGTCTGGGGGACAGGAATGCTTCAGACTTGTCATCAGTCCACTTCGGTGCATAAAAGCACCTCCTGTCCCAGTATTCGTTCAAATCCAAGAGATATTTTCTTCCAGTGAAATATGACCGGAGCACTCATTTTATTTTCAGCAATTCAGTCTGTTTCCATGGCAGCACTGCGGGATTCCTTAGCCACCATGAGTCGCATTAGCTGACTGTGGAATTTCTCAATCTTCTTTACGTCTTGCGCCTGGTCTGTTCTATACAGCAAACACTGCAAGAGAAAGTTGCTTAATATCAGATTTCACTGAACTGTTTTTACCCTGCTTACAGTTGCAACAAATTTGTGCTTGGAACACACAAACCGAGATAAGTACTTAAATGTTCATCTGTGGCATGCTGTTACTGTGAGGCAGCACCAACGCATACCTACCCTGTTTTAAAATACACATGCATCTGTGTTTACATTTAAGTTTCTCTGAAAGGCCTTCCATTCTGAAAATAGGGAAGCTCGTGATTTATCCTTGTTTCTTCTCTCCCCAAGAAGGTGCTAAAACTTGGGTTTTAAGCTGTCTTTTAAAGACATCCTGGTTTGCCTTGTCTAAAAATAGAAGCAGCTTTTAAACCTGAAATTACTTTCCTATTGTCTATATCCCAAAAGCAAGTTTTTTTGGCCTTTCACAGTCCTTAATGTTATGCTGCCAGTGACATAAAATCAGTGCAGCATTTCTCACAGAAGAGGGAGATCCCCTCCCCCAAGCAAAACCTGTTTCTAAGACAGTCCTAAAGAAGGAACATAACATCAGATTAAGATCAAAAGGAACTCCTTCATCTGACAAGCCTGTAAATGCAAAAGTAACAAGAGTAATATGCCAGAGATTTATCACAGAAAGACCACTTAGGTTTTTTGTGGATTAAGTAATTCCTTGTACCTGCAGTGCATGAGTATGACTGCCCAGGCTGATTTAACAATGAAAAAAGCCCCAGAATGCTCCATTCTTCACTGCTATCAACACAGCATTTTCTGCTGGCATTACATTCCTATTTTAATTCAGAGACAAACAGTAGAAAAAACAGTTTACTTTTTCCTTCAGCTATATTAGTTGTACAGAGTTAGCAGCAAGGAAAACTTCCCACCTTTAGAAAAAAAAAAACCCACCAAACCAAAACCCAAAAAACCAAAAACCCAAACACCCAAACCAACTCCCTGCCCCGCTGCCAGTATAACAGCTTCTCGTGACTGGAAGCAGGTAAGAGAAGGCCTGTAACTGAAACCAGTCCAGGTTCATGAACCACCCAATTCCAACCTTCCCCTATGGAAGATTTCCATTTAATTGCCCTTCACTTCCCCCTGTTATCAGTGTCCCATACACAGTATCTCACCCACGCTAAGCCCTATTTTCCTACCAAAAAATGTCATTGCTGGAGTTCCACATCTCCCCCAGGTACTGGAAACACCAATGCCAGGCTACTGTTCCCAGAAAGAAGAAATCCGATTTTTCCAAATCTGAAGAGAAGGGCAGGCTACTGTTTCTTACTCTGGACTGCAGAACAGCAGCAGCAACTTGGCTATAACATCATTAGCATCAAGAAGCCATCGCTGGCATGCATGTCAGCACGCATATGCTGATGCATGCTTATGCATTTCTACTGGCTGCCCACCATCTCGAATCCTAGCCCCACACATGCTTCTAAGCACCCTCCCAGCCTATTCAGAACAAGGGCAACCAGCTGCTCCACCTTCTCATACAGCCACCCTTGGAAGGACGCTGCAGAACTCCATGTTGTGTGCATGTAGCACAGTTTTTACTGAATGCATAACTGACACCGTAGCAATATCTCAGAAGATGGGATCTCTGAACTGCAAGCAAATCTTGTCATTCAGCCTGCCAGCACTCCACTGTCTGATACTCACAAATAAGGAGCTCAACATATACTTGGAAGCTGTCACCACTCTGAACAAATGAAAAGGACCACACTCACATTAGTAAACACACCTGTGTGAAGATGCTCCTGAAATACCTCAGCAGAAGCTACCAGTGTAGTTCCATGAAACATTTTCAGATAGACAGGATCCAAGATTTTTGTAGGGCTCATTTTCATAGAATCCCAAAGTAATTATGTTGACACCCATAAGGAACACTGAAGTGTTTTAACTTTTCATGGACTGCGCAGCATTGAACCACAGGTTAACATCAGCCACAGCAACTAGGGACGGCTGGGCACTACAAGGTTTTAGAAAACTGTCAGGAGCTCTCAAGGCAACAGCTTGAGCTCACAAGCTGACTGACAGCAAGAGGCAAATCCGTGAGAGGTACAACAAGCCCTGGAAAGGGAATATTATCTGTACTTACAGCTACATCATCCGTTACTTTGATACAGAGGTTCCCATCACAATGTCTGTATTTGAGAACAACCCGCACCTGAAATGACAAACATTTTATGAATTAGCACCAACAGCTAACAATTCTCAGAAAATAGCTGAAAGAAATCTGCCCTAAATTCAGACTACCTTTTATTAGAGTTACATACTGCTTCATATTTTCACCACCTCTGTGGTGGTCCTCAGCTCTGCTGGCCACTAATCCTACAGCCAAGATGGTTTGGAATTTGAGCCATCACGTTTCCCTGACTAACATGTTAAACTGCTATCGTAACAGCATCAGGAAGCTTAACACTGGGCATGTTCAAAGCCACTATAAATACAGCAGCAACAGTTGCAGGGACCTCAGTGATAGGCAAGATAGGCTATGAGTGTCACATCAATACAAAACACCCTCTTGCCATTTATCACACTTCAGAAAAACTAAATGGAAACTTGTGTTTATAGAATTGAAACACTTAAAAATAAAAAAGTTCCACATGAAAGCTATTAACTGAGTGGGGTAAGCTCAACATTACTGCTTTTATCTTCTACAGAACCTAAACTATTATCTTAAGAAGTTGTATTTCCAGTCACTAGTTAATTCAATAGCTGCACTGAAACCTACAGACAGTTTTGAAGTGTTCTGATGTTTTGCAAGTGGAAAGGGACAGTACAAGTATAACACTTTTAGAGTAACTAAAACCAGAAGACTGAAAAGAGTTCTTGCTAATTAAATTGCTTTCAAGAGTCAATAATGCTAAATTTGAAGTCTGAAAGCAAGCATCCAATTTCTCACTAAAACAGTTACTACTGTAGTCACCTGCCCAGAGTTTTAACTTGTCCGCAGTCCTTCTGGACTCTCAAATCACCAAAGTTTTCAAATCCACAGTGACAAATCCTCAGCAACTGACTGAACATGAAATGCTTCCTCCTGAACGCAGAGCTGGCCACAGAGACTTTGTCTCTATTGTTTCTTGTCTCAGCTAGCATCAGTAACTACAAACAAAGCAAGCTGTCCCTTTGAGAACATTCTGAACTCACACTATAAACAGGTCTTTGTTGCACAGAGTGACCTGTGCTCATGGTCAACAGCCTCCTTGACTACAAAATATTTTTTGAAATTCCTGCTCCAAGATAGAGCTTATTTACCCTTCTTGTTTAACAAACTGTCATCTTCCTGCCACAGCAGCTATGTAATAGTACATCTCTCAGCTGAGCAGGCCCAACAGCAGAAGAGAGGCTGCCAAAAGCAGCAGGCACAGGTTCCACTGATAACTTGCTCCCGCAGAAGGGGAAGACCACTCTCTACCTAGCCTCACCAGCCCACAAAAAATGCACACCCATCTCCTTCGATTCTTGTTATTCTTTCAGTTTTCTGACAAGCCCAATTACACACAAAAGCTTCTCAGGCTAATTCTCCGGCAAATTAAAAGGAGGGTACTCATGTTGTGACCCCAGGGTCTACGTAAACTCCTTTCTAAATGGACAAGTTTATTGCCATAAATGGGGAGATTGCCTTTGGACACCCCTTAAGAAAAGGGGGAGAGCAACTCCTAGCTGCAGCGACATCCCTCCCAAACGCTTTCATTCAATTGGATATTACAGAGCATAAGGTGGCAAACCAGAACAATTTATTTTATTATCAGTTAATAGGTAACAACTGCATACAAAGTGGTCAACCATGCTAAAGACCAATGTTAAACTCTACCGCTGAAGGTTTCTCCGAGTCCTCTATTTTTGGTGAGGAAAACCAGGCCTTTCTTACAGAAGTTTTCTCTGGCATACAAGTTCCACATTACCTTTTGTGCTACTTCTTAGCTCAAATGCAATGCTAATTCTGAAGACTAAAGTTGCTTTTAAGGTTTGCACAAACTACACTCCTGAAAATGTTACCAGAGGTAAAAAGTAGTCATATACCAAGAAGTTAATTCCTACAGCAAATATCCTAAAGAATATTTAGAACACCTTCCACAGCCTGAAGTGACACTGCAGGCAACAAGACAATGTAAGAGCTAATGAAGGCCTTGTTTTAGTATTTTATGAAGACAAATTCAAGTGATACGGTCTTATATGTTGCAAACTCACAAAATAAACCAACTCTCAACAGACTCTTTGTTCAACGGAACTCTCTTAATGCCGGTTTCTAACACACAGGCACACTGCAAACAGGCAAAATGCCTCTGAAGGTGGGTTCTCGAGGTTCTCGCACATCTCTAATAACATCACCTGCACACCGACCCCCGTGGACGTTTTGGGGCTGTTAAGTGACAACTTCCTCCTGTTTCGTGGAAGGGGAAGGTCAGGCGCGACACCAGCCAGCGCTCCCCTTCCTT